TGAATTCTCACCATGTTGACCAGGCTGGTCTTGAACTCCTGGCTTCAAGCCATCCACCCACCCTGTCCTCACTAAATGCTGAGGTTGCAGATGTGAGCCACAGTTCCTGGCCATAAAATTTTTAATTCTAGATGACTTTTTAATCTAATCTTCTTGATAAAAATTTACAGTCTTTTGTTTCTTACTCAAAATGATAAGCCTCTCATATTAAACACATTAAATATATGCTGTCTGATAATTCAAATACCTGAGGTCAGCCAGGCATGTGGCTCACGCCTGCAATCCCAGGACTTTAGGAGGCTGAGGCAGGTGAATTACTTGAGGTCAGGAGTTCGAGACCAGACTGGCTGACTTGGCAAAACTCCATGTCTACTAAAAATACCACAAAAATTAGCCAGACTTCATAGTGCACACCTCTAATCCCTGCTGCTCAGGACAGGGAGGCAGGAGAATCGCTTGAACCCAGGAAGTGGAGGTTGTGGTGAGCCAAGATCATGCCACTGCACTCCAACCTGAGTGACAGAGTGAGACTCTGTCTCAAAAAAACAAAACAAACAAAGAAAACAAATCAAATACCTGAGGTCTTTGTGTGTGTCTTCAATTCATTGTTTCCACTGGCTCCCATTTATGACCACTTTTTTCCCTATGTTCTGAGGGATTTGTGCTTGTGAGCTCCTTCTTTTCTGAGAATCCTTTATCTAAGAGGATCCTTTGGACCATGGTTTGAACCGGAATTATTCTTGCATTCATTTCTCCTAATTGCCTTATAGGCACTAATAACCGAGGATGATTTAAATTAAATTTTTCCTTTGGTGTAATATGAATTGGCTTTTGCCTTCCATTGACGTCGATCAAAGTTAAGGCCATCCTGGCCAACATAGTGAAATCCCTGCTAAAATTCCTCTACTACAATAGAAAAAAAATTAGCTGGGTGTGGTGGCAAGTGCCTTGTAGTCCCAGCTACTCGGGAGGCTGAGACAGGAGAATTGCTTGAACCTGGGAGGTGGAGGTTGCAGTGAGCCAAGATCATGCCACTGTACTCCAGCCTGGCGCTTGGTGACAGAGTGAGACTCTGTCTCAAAAAAAAAAAAAAAAAAAAAATGTATCCATGTTGTTGTATGAATCAGTATTTCATTCCTTTTTATTGCTGGCTAGTATTCTACTGTATATATATACCACAGTTTGTTTGTCCATTCTTGTGTTGATGAACCCTTGGGCCCACTTCCAGTTTAGGGTTATTATAAATAAAGCCACTGTAAACGTTTCCATACAAGTCATTTTTTTGGACATATGTTTTCGTTTTTCTTGGGTAAAGACCCCAGGAATAGAGTTGCTGGATCAGAGGGTAGGATTGTGTTTAATTTTATGGGAAACTGCCAGACCATCTTCCAAAGTGGTTATACTCTTCTGTACTCCCGTCAACACTGTATGGGAATGTCTGCTTTCTCTTTCTGCACTGTAGTCTTATCTCTCATTCACTCCTTAAGATGCATCCTTTTGAGAGCTGAGCTTTCTATGGGGGTTTTCTATTCAACTCCCACTTTGGATGGACCTGACACTTCACTTCCTTCTTCTGTGTCCTGAGTGTCAATCACACTCAGTGCCACAGTTCACTGTAATTGAGAAAATACCCTTATGATAAAAGCCAGTTTCAGGAATATGCCTCCTAGGATTCCTGTTTTTATTTCATTTTGGCATTTGCAAATTCTTCATGTGTTTGGCAGATCTTCAGTATGTTAAAAACATATAATTATTCATGATTTTTAGTTGTTTTCCATGAAAGAGTCATTCAGGAAATCTAGTCTGCCATGCTATCATAAAGGGAAGTCTGCAGAATATACTTTTAAAAAGTAGATCAGGCCAGGCACAGTCGCCCCTGCCTGTAATCCCAGTACTTTGGGAGGCCAAGGTGGGTGGATCACTTGAGGCCAGGAGTTCGAGACCAGCCTGACCAACATGGCGAAACCCATCTCTACTAAAATACAAAAATCAGCAAGGCGTGGTGGTAGGTACCTGTAATCCCAGCTACTCGGGAGCCTGAGGCAGGAGAATCACCTGAACCTGGAAGATGGAGGTTGCAGCTGATTTCACTCCACTGCACTCCAGCCTGGGCAACAGAGCAAGACTCCTTCTCAAAAAAACAAACAAAAAAAAAAAAAAAAACAGTAGCTCAGATCATCTCATACTTTTGATTAAAGTTTTCCTATGGTTTCATACTTAGAACAAAACCCCAGCTTCCTATTCTGACCTTTATGATATGACTTATGCTTACTTCCAGGTCATCCTAAAACTCTTGCTACGTTCTTCTTGCTGATCCTCAAACACACTCACCTTCTTTCCATCTTGGGGCAATAATTCCTCCCTGAAGCTGCCACTGTTTTTCATCTTTAATGCCTCATAGAGACTTGTACTGACTTTGCCACCAAAAGTAGACTCCCCCAGTACCACTCCTTATCTCAGAGCTTTATGATCGTGAGAAATTGTGTTATTATTTCCCTATTTCTTTGCTTGTTGTCTGTCTTGCTCTCTAAGAGAATGTAAATTCTGTGAGAGCAGACTTTGTGTTTCTTTCCTTTCACTGCTATTTCCCCAGTACCTAAAACTGCACTTGTAACTTAGAAGGGACTCAATGAACACTTGTTAAATGAATGAAAGAATGAATGAATTCTGTAGGGATTACCTTGCACACATATATAATCTATATTTATGAACTGTAAGTGTAATCATGCCTGAATATGTAAATATTAAATTTTTATTTTAAAGAATAAATTGCTCTTTGTTTTTTTGTTTGTTTGTTTTGAGATGGAGTTTCGCTCTTGTTACCCAGGCTGGAGTGCAATGGCGCCATCTCGGCTCACCGCAACCTCCACCTCCTGGGTTCAGGCAATTCTCCTGCCTCAGCCTCCTGAGTGGCTGGGATTACAGGCACGCACCACCATGCCCAGCTAACTTTTTTTGTATTTTTAGTAGAGACAGGGTTTCACCATGTTGACCAGGATGGTCTCGATCTCTTGACCTCGTGATCCACCCGCCTCGGCCTCCCAAAGTGCTGGGGTTACATGCTCTTTGTTCATTTCTCCTTCACATGGTATTATTGGAATTCTTAAAGAATTCATATGTGTATAGGCATACCTCAAAGATGTTACACGCTCAGTTCCAGACCTTTGTAATAAAGATATCACAATAAAAGGAATATTGCAATAAAGCCAGAGTCACACAAATTGTTTTCTTTCCCAATGCATATAAGAGTTACGTTTACACTATACCGCAGCGTATTAGCTATGTAATAGTATTATGTTTAAAACAAACCAATGTCTATACCTTAATTTAATAACGCTTTGTTGCTAGAAAAAATTCTGGCACAGAGACATGAAATGAGCGCATGCTGTTGGAAAAGTAGCATTGATAGGCTTTCTCAGTGCAGCTTTGCCACAATTCTTCCATTTGTAAGAAGTGTAGTATCGGCCAGGTGCGGTGGCTCATACCTGTAATCTCAGCACTTTGGGAGGATGAGGCGGGCAGATCATGAGGTCAAGAGATCGAGACCATGCTGGCCAACATGGTGAAAACCCACCTCGAATAAAAATACAAAAATTAGCTGTGGGCGGTGGCATGTGCCTATAGTCCCAGCTACTTGGGAGGTTGAGACAGGAGAATCGCTTGAACCCAGGAGGTAGAGGTTATGGTGAGCCGAGATGGTGCCGCTGCATCCCAGCCCAGTGACAGAGCAGAAAAAAGAAAGTGCAGTATCTCCAAAGCACAATAAAGTGAAGTACAATAAAATGAGGTGTGACTGCATATTACCTATACATTTCAGAAGTAATATTAAGTATTTATTTTAAAAGGAGACGCTGGTTTTCAAAGGGCTGAGAACCACTGTCCTAAGTGCTGATGACTTTCTATCCTCTGAGCACCAATCCCTATTTGTCTGACATTCTTCTGGACAGCCTATTCTCAGATATGGCATGGCATTCTAAGTTCAACCTCTCCAAAACAAAACACATCATCTGACTCCATAAAACTTCCTCCTTGTGCTTGGCTCCCAGGTGTTGTGCTTTTGCTTAGTATCCCCATGCATTTAATCAGTTGTCAGATATTATTTTTCTGCTTGCTTGACACTACTTGCAATTGTCTATTCCTTTAATTCCCCGTTACCATGCTGTAGTTTAGATGCTCATCATCTTGCCCCTGGCACCTTGCAACATTCTCCTCTGGGGTCTTCTGCTACCCTTATACCCCTCTTATTTAGGTACTATCTAAATAGCATTTATAGTATGTATATCAAATAACACAGCCTGTTGGATTTCTCAGTCTCCAGAGTCGCATGAGCCAATTCCCCTAATAAATCTCCTCTCATCTCTCTCTTTCTTTCTCTCTCTCTCTCTCTCCTCTCTCTCTCTCTCTCTCTTTGTCATCTTGATATCTATCCATCCATCTGTTTATCTCCTACTGGTTCCGTCTCCTGGAAAGACCATTAGTAATATAGATTTTGTTACCAGAAGTGGTACTAAAGGAACAGATTTTTTTTTTTTTTTTTGAAATGGAGTTTTGCTCTTGTTGCCCAGGCTGGAGTGCAATGGCACAATCTCGGCTCACCACAACCTCCACCTCCTGGATTCAAGCTATTCTTCTGCCTCAGCCTCCTGAGTCACTAGGATTACAGGCATGTGCCACCACACTTGACTAATTTTGTATTTTTAGTAGAGACGGGGTTTCTCCATGTTGGTCAGGCTGGTCTCGAACTCCCGACCTCTGGTGATCCTCCTGCCTTGGCCTCCCAGAGTGCTGGGATTATAGGTGAGAGCCAGTGTGCCCGGCTGAGGAATAGAATTTTAAGGCTAAGTTTCCTTAATTGGTTTTGGGGTTTCTGGAAGTGGTTCTTTAATTGATTAGACCTAACAATGCTAGGAACTCTACTTCTAGTAGTACAGAGGCCACTGCTAGCCCTTGGCATAAACTGTTTTAGAGATATGCAAAACAAATGCATTTGATACTTGTAATTTACTACTTATAAGAGGAAATAATTTAATGACTCTAATTATATTCTCAAACATTTGTGGAAAACCAAGGACTATAATGATGTTTGTTGGTTGCTCCTGGTGTCGCTGGATAGAGTGATGAAGGAAACAGATGAGCTCCAGATGGGATTTCCTGGCTCCCACTCCAAAGAAGCGACTTAGGAGTTTCTAGGTGTGTCTTCAGTCAGAATCTTCTCTCCTGTAACTACAGGTCTGAAATTGCCAAAAATCAAACACAAACCTTCATCACATGACTGGCTGAATTGAAGGAAAGCTAAACTCTCAGCCTCACCGACTGATATTAAAGTGAGGACATTGGTTAGGAAACAGTGAAATTCTGCAACTGTTTAGGAAGACCCTGATAAACCTGGTGAGTCTCACTGGCCAGAAGTGACCTCCCCATTTCCACTCCCACCCTCAGAGGCATCTATGTCCCCATCCACAGTGGTATCAACCTTTCTGCTCTGTCTGAGGGGATTAACCGGAAATAGTAGTGCCTTTCCATGAGGCAGTAACAGCAAGATAATCCCGATTCTCCTCAGGACCCAACCCCACCACCCTTTTTTGCTTCTAGAACTATAACTAAACTCAAGTCCCATCAAGACCCTACAGGCAAGATACCAAGTGTGAGTCATGAGGAGGTGTGCTATACCCCAAAAGAGCTACTTGGGTTTTCCAATATATAAAGCAGAAATATCTAGAACATGTGTGAGAATGGATATGAAGGGTGTGGGATAATGGTGAAGGGAACCCACAGTTGGATCAGGCTGAAAAGTATTGATATGGACAGAGATTCTGCATTTAATGTCGCAGCTCAGGAGTTAGAAAGGTGCTAACGGTTTGGCTGAAACATGGATCAAAAGACGTCCCATCAACAGCAAGTTAGAAATGGCTGGTGTCCTGTGGTTTACCATAGAGGAAGGGATTCAGGGGTTGAGAATGCTAGAGTGAATTTGCCACGTGAAACCTCACCCACACTAAGAGGGCCCAGAAGACATACTTTTCACCCATGCCTTGAGAAACAGATTTGTAAGGAGAGCCTCTGAATCCCTGAAGAGCTCTGTGGCTGCTCTTCTCTATCGGCCGTACCGTACAGTGGGAACCACAGTCACTGAACTGAAAAACACAAATGCAATGTTAGGCCCCACCTCCCAACACTGTTGCTTTGGAGATGAAGCTTCCAACATATGCTTTTAGGGGGACATTCAAACCTCAGCACAGGCTTAATGGAATTACTGCATATCTGCCATGGGCAGAGTAATTGAAGCTTGGAAAAAACCCCAAAAGACTGCAATCCCTACTTAGTGTTGTGAAGCTCACAATCTGTGAGAAAATGATGGCATCACAAAATGTGAGAGCTGGAAGAGATCTTTGAACTTTAATCCAGTCCATTGTTTTACAGAAGAGGAAATGGAGTAGAGGGCACACCCTGCAGGCAAGTTGTAGTAGAACTGGACTAGAAGCTAAATTCCCTGGAAGGAACACTAGAACACACACACACACACACACACACACACACGTGTGCCTGCACACACAGAGAAAGTAAGAGTGCAGCAAGTGCATGCAGCCTTACTGGTTGGCTGGTAAATGAACCCCTATTTAAAAACTGGGAAATACAGCTGGGTGTGGTTCATGCCTGTAATCCCAGCACTTCAGGAGGCTGAGGCAGGTGGATCATTTGAGATCAGGAGTTCAAGACCAGTCTGGCCAACGTAGTGAAACCCCATCTCTACTAAAAATACAAAACTTAGCTGGGCATGGTGGTGCACACCTGTGCTCCCAGCTACTTGGGAGGCCGAGGCAGGAGAATTGCTTGAACCCAAGAAGTGGAGGCTTCAGTGAGCTCGCGCCACTGCACTCCAGCCGGGGCGACGGAGTAAGACTTAGTCTTAACATAAATAGATAAATAAAATAATAAAAGCTGGGAAATACTAGTGAAGTGATTGAGATCAACGCGCAGTCTTTGACAAGTAACTTAAGTTCTTTGTGCATCTGTGTCCTCATTTATAAAATAGGGATGATAATGGCTACCTTTCAGAGTGTTCTGGGAATGATCAACGATGTATGTAAAACACCCTATCAACTAGCAATGCTTTTGGCTGCAAGAAGCACAAAATCCAACCGATAGCGTTCTAAACAAACAAGGGTTTATTTTTGTCCTGTTAAGATCATGGAGGTAGGTGGCTGCTGGCATTTATTAGTGAAGTGGCATGGGTCTCTGAAAGTTTCTTGGCCTTTCCTTCATGTTTGTGGCTTCATGATGGCCAAATAATGTGAAAGTTCCAGATGTCATGTTTGCATTCAACGTAGGAATGAGAGGAAACGAAGGAAGACACTCCTAGGCACATCTAACCCTTGTCCTGGGGACAGCAGGTTGACCTAGACGTGCCCCAGGAGAATTCTGCTTATATCTCGTGGACCCGGTGCCATCGTCTCATTTCCCCTAGCTAGATGAAAAGCTATGTAAAGCTAAATGTTTGGCTATTACCAGAATGGGGGCAGCAAAGGGAAAGGAAAAGAGGTCGGGAATAGCTTTTTAGTAGCCTATGAACAGGACCTGCCATAAGAACCTATCATAGAAGAGGGCCATTAAAGGGTGGTTTTTGGAATTTTAAGTAAACCGTTGAGGCTTGCCATGAATCTACCCAGGCATTTTGACCTTCAACAATGAACTTTCATTACAAAGAGTTAATGAGAAAGCATGAGCTGGTTTTGGTGTGCAGTTTGTAGCTCCGTCTCATCACTTACTTTTCACATTTTATGGATTTCTTGAAATTGCCCTGGGATTATGGGAATTTGGTGATTCAGGTCGTGAACTCCATTATTTTGGTTTTAGCCCTTAAGGTAAAGATCTGATATTAAGCTGGTCTTTGTATCTATCTTTAACATCTTGGATTTGGAGGTAAAAGTTATTGGATGAAACCCCAAAACACATTCAAGGTTGTGAAATAATGAAAATGTAAGTGGAAGCATGAAGATTCAATGTGTTCTTTATCATCCTTTGCAGCTTAAATAAAACCACTATTCTCAGAGTCAAAAATAATTCAGGATTTAATTGGCAAAGGTATTTTAAGGTTCTGTCTTTTTCTATTTTTCTCCTGCCTTGGTAAAGCTATGAGTTATGTTGTAAGCCCTGAGCATCTTGAAATGGTAGTTACTAAGACAACGTATTAAATTAAGAATTAATTGGATTTTTAAAAATTCTCCTGGCCGGCTGTGGTGGCTCACACCTGTTATCACAGCACTTTGGGAGGGTGAGGCCCGTGGATCACGAGGTCAAGAGACCGAGACCATCCCGGTCAACATGGTGAAACCCCGTCTCTACTAAAAATATAAAAAATTAGCTGGGCATGGTGGCGCGTGCCTGTAATCCCAGCTACTCAGGAGGCTGAGGCAGGAGAATTGCCTGAACCCAGGAGGTGGAGGTTGCGGTGAGCCGAGATGGCGCCATTGCACTCCAGCCTGGGTAACAAGAGTGAAACTCCATCTCAAAACAAACAAACAAACAAACAAATTCTCCTTTGTGTACCTACAAACATATCGGTATTATGGTTCTCATTTTACCTTGGCACAATATTGTCCTAAAGAGAGGCCTATATATTCTTTGGATTCTGAAAATTAACATTTTCACACCTCCATAAGCACACAGAATCTTTTTAACATATAAAGGATCTCCTTCCCAGGGAAAAGTTACTTATGATATACCTGTTAGTAGGCCTCCAGGCTGGCTTACACCAAATTTTAATAAGTCATTGCATTTTCTATAAGTTAATTCCCCAGTTCCCATTGATTTTTTGCCGACAAGGTCCAGGTGTATTTTCCATATGCATTCATTCTGAGCACATGAGATTCCTCTATAGTGGCTAATTATGCATCTCAAATCTAAGGTCTGTAAGTGCTGGCAAGTGCTGCTCACAATAGGGATTAAGTAGACCAGTACATTGTTGCAGTTGTCTATGGAAACAAATGTGAGCTTTCCCATCAGTGTCAGTTCAGAAAGTTAGGGTCAGAAGGCGACTTAAAGAACACACAACACATCCTATTTATGTTACAAAAAATCAAAGCACAGATTTTTGTGGGGTTTTGTTTTGTTTTTTGTTTGTTTGTTTGTTTGGGGGGACAGGGTCTCACTCTGTCACCCAGGCTGGCGTGTCTGATCTCAGCTCATTGCAACCTCCTCAGCCTCAACCTCCTGGGCTCCAGCAATCCTCCTATCTCAGCCTCTCGAGTAGCTGGGACTACAGGTGCGGGCCACCACACCTGAGTAATTTTTGTACTTTTTGTAGACATGGAGTTTTATCATGTTGCCCAGGCTAGTCTTGAATTCCTGAGCTCAAGCAATCTGCCCACCTTGGCCTCCTAAAGTGCTGGGATTACAGGCGTGAGCCACCGCACACCCAGCCTGCGTATTTTTCAATAGAGATCATAGGGGAATGGGCTTCTCCCCATAAGCATTATAAGCTTTTTTCCCTATCTCTGCTGGATGTGAGGCACTAGGTTAGATCTTAGGGATACAAAAGGGACTCAGATATGACCTTTCCCTGAAGAGCTCATGATCTTAGGAACCTGCAAGAGGAGTGAGAAAGGTGAAGGGCCCTGATTTAGGTAGATGTCATCTCTGCCCACCTAAGAGAGAGAAAGGTAGGAAGGGTGGAGATTTAAATTAAATGAAGCCTCTTCTCTTATTCATTTTGTCTTCTCTAAACAATCTTCAGTAGAAGGTAAAGTGATAGCTTTATGTTCAGAAGACTGAGAAAACAAATTTTGATTCAGCTATTTACCCCTTTGCATATCAATTTTTCCTTTCTTTTCTTTTTTTTTGACAGGATCTCACTCTGTCACCAAGACTGGAGTGCAGTGGCACGATCTCAGCTCACCACACCTCCACCTCCCAGGCCCGAGTGATTCTCCAGCCTCAGCCTCCTATACAATCTATATTGAAAGACAGGCAGCTGGGATTACAGGTTCGAGCCACCATACCCAACTACTTTTTGTATTTCTAGTAGAGATGGAATTTCACCATGTTGGCCAGGCTGGTCTCGAACTCCTGAACTCAGATCCGCCCATCTCGGCCTCCCAAAGTGCTGGGATTATAGGTGTGAGCCACAGCACCCAGCCACTCAATTTCTTTATCTGTAAATAAAAATGATAGTAATACCCATCCCCCCATCCATCCCCTAGAATTATGACAGTACATAGTAAAATAAAGCCCCTAGCATGTGCGTTTTGTTGGGAAGAGAATATTCTATTCTCCAGGTGGACTTCAGTGAATGTAATTTTCCTTATGTTTATCCAGAATTGTTTTTCTCTCTCAATTAGCCCTTCAAGGCTGAGACAAAACTTCCCCCAACACCCTTCCTCTTGTGCCTCTCAGATCTGCCGACTTCTAGGGCTGCTGGCAACACAAACCCCTTAGAAATCGTAGAGTGAAGTGTAGGTTAGGGGTGTGGGATTGGGGTGGCTCAGTAGGGTGTGTGGAGTAGGGAGATGGGAGGAAGGTTGTAGCTGCAATCGTTGGAGGCTCCTCAGCCTGCAATGCTTGGGCTGTGGCTGCCAGCTCTTATGTCTCTAAAACAGGATGAATAGAGAGCCTTCAGCCTCAGCATTCAGGGTTTCCACTCCATCCTCACTTCTCATCTTCCACCACGAAGGGCACCAACAAGGGTTACTTTAGCATGGTTTAGGCAAGTGCCATGCCCTCCACTTAGAATAATTGGGCACTCCATAATTCTTTTTCATTATTATAAATAATGATGATTTTCTTCATTATAAAAAAATACATGTTTTTTAATCAGAAAACGAAAAATGTTGAAATACACTTTTTATTATTTTGAAGCTTCACCATCTTTTAAATGCAAGCATGTCAGTGAATTGTTGAAAGAAGTTTTTGTTGAATTTACTCCTAAGTATTTGATTTTTGATGCTGTTTAAATTGAATTATTAATTTTATTTCCAGATTTTCCATTGCTAGAAATAAAATTTTTATATGTTAATACTGTATCCTTCAATCTTGCTAAAATGCATTAACTCTAATAATTTTTTCTGTATATTCCTAGGTTTTTAAAAATATATAACATCATGTCATCTGCAAATAGATATAGGTTTACTTCTTTTTT